ATCGGGAGGGGAGTGTCAGAGACAGTGCGATTGGCACAGGACAGAGCAGAGTTTAGGGCTGTTGTACATAGGGTTGCTATGAGTCGCAAGCGACTCGACGGCACATAACAACAACAACATCTGTACTCTGTTTTATGAGCATATCTGTACTAATAACTCCCACATTATCACTTCCAACACTGGCATCCCCATCAGTACTACTGTGTGGGCACAATTTGACATGGTTGAAATGAAATTCATAAACCCAACATCTTCCCCCATACCTGCTCCTTCTTATTTGATCTGGTGGGACCAGACCAACTTCCCCCAAACCCTGATCCAGCAATCCTTTTGGTAACAACCATCCTCAGAGAGAGAGAGAGCAATTATATCTTTATTATTGAGATATAATTAACATATCATAATAGTTACTCTCGGCCTTGGGTTGAAGGCAGTAGCAGCGGCTTCAAGCCCAAAAGGAGAAGAGGAGAGAGGAGGCAGCCATAATCTCCCAGGTTTGCTCCACCCAGGGTGGCTATGATCCTTTGGCCAGAGAGCATGATGCTGTGTACGTGGGAGTTGTGTTGCCACAGTCTCTGGAGAAAAGCTACTCTGCCTCCAGGAGCCAGGGAAGCCACGCTTGGCCTTGGGTTGAAGGTAGCAGCGGCTTCAAGCCCAAAAGGAGAAGAGGAGAGCGGAGGCAGCCATAATCTCCCAATAACATCAACAGAGAGAGAGAGAGAGATTGATTAGCTGGCGCAGTGATGAGAAAACGATGTGACCAAGACCAAGGTGGGTGACTTTTAATCCGCGGCCCTCAGGCCAGTCTTTCATTGTTTTTGTTCAGACATTCCTCTAGGTCGTGTAGCCCTGGTGTACAAGTTGCCGTACAGCGGTCACTTGTGGTTGCTGTGAGACTGAACACTGTGACATGGATTGTGTTAAATGCGTTAATGATTGGCTACCCAATACGGACAGAGAGTGGGTGGAGCTCCCCGATTAAAACAAGCATGGAAGCAGCAGTGGCATCCACTTCCATAATAGCTTGCCTCCGGAAACCCTATGAACCTGGAGAGAGGATGAAAGGCACCCAAGCGTCGAGGACCCTCCTTCATAGGGTTGCTATGAGTCGCCTGCGACTCAACGGCACTTAACAACAACAATAACAATAGTTACTCTTTTAAAATGTACAAGTACAATTAGGTGTTTTTTAGTATATTCACAGAATTGTACAATGATCATCTAATTGCATAACCTTTTTAGCATTTCCATCCTCTTTAGCTACCATCACTTTATCTAACTCCCTCCCCCTCCAGCCCTAAGCAGCCATCAGTCAGCTTTTTTTCTGTCTCTCTGCTTTCTCTGCCTATTTGAGATATTTAATGTAAATAGAATCATACAATATGTAGCTGTTTGTGTCTAGCTTCTGTCACTTCACATATTGTTTGCAAGGTTCATACATGCCATGCTGTTTATCAGCACAGAATATTATAAATATTTTCTTTAATAAATAAGAACTGCAGTCTTCAATATGGATTGAAGCTCAACATCAAGAAAACAAGGATTCTCACCACTGGGCCAATTGGCAGTTCCATGATGGATGGAGAGATTGAGATTGTTAACAATTTCAATAGCTTGGCTCCACAATCAACACTTTTGGCACCAGCACTCAGGCAATCAAAAGATGAATTAATTGCCTTGGGAAAGTTGGCTATCAGGGACCTCTCCAGAAGACTAAAGAGCAGTAATGTCAGTCTGAAGATTAAGGTGTGCCTGATACAGGCCATAGTCTTCGCAATTACTTGATATACATCTGAGAGCTGGACAATAACGAAGGGTGATAGAAGGATCAATCCCTTTGAGTTGCAGTGCTGGAGA